TGATCTGTGTGTGTGTGTGTGTGTGTGTGTGTGTGTGTGTGTGTGTATGTGTGTGTGTGTGTGTATGTGGAGAGGGGGTGGAGAGGGTTAATGACATGAATCTCAATCCATATACTGGCCTTTATAGGTAATAGTTTTCCCTGAGAAGTCTCTCTCACACGACTCCACAAGAACTTCCTTGATTTTTAATGCCAATTCACTGCTTATGTCCCCCAGATTTAGTATTGCAGATAGCTAATGTTGTCATTCATATAGTATCTAATGGCCGTATAGTATCTACTGACTAGCGTCTATGGTGTAGTGGTAAGGCACTTCGTCATTGCATGCAGAAAACATGAGCTTGATTTCCAAGTTGGGAGAATATTTATCGAGGGTCTTGATCTTTCTGCAAGTACTTGAACATGGTATCCCTCCCATACCATGTTGTCCCTCACAGGCAGGGTTAAAGCCTGCTCATTAATTCTCTAAATGGAGGCATAAAACATTGAAAAAAAGATCTATTGTCAAATACCTATTTACAACCCTGTGGACTAAAGAAATTAGAGCTATGTGTCTTATCTAAAGGTACAATGTCCTGTCTGCAGGAGCAAGGAATCCAAATTGCTTTTGTATTGTAAATGCAATACCTTCATGCTCGATTAGGCATTCGGTTCAAATTTAGGCAGATAAGTCATCTTTGTCATGTTTTTTTATGAACATCATAAATAGCAGAGATCTCACTGGTGCTACATCCCAGTGGGATGTTTCTGCACGCCCTGTCTGCCTGTGAATTTTCAACTCTAGACTTTCTGCAGTTTCATATTTTTGCAGGTACTGTAAATACAAAGCTCACTGAGGGATGAGCACTTTCATAAATGCATTTTTCTATTGTACTTTATGCGAGGTGGTGAAAGGACGCATAGAGATGCAAAGGAGAAATAATTATTGCCCAACAACACCTCAAAGGAGACATAATTGAATAATTACGAGATGAATCATTTTTTTAACAAGTGGGCAGCTTATGAAAAGGTTTAAAGATTGTGGGCTCAGTTCCATGCTGCAGTTAAGATGGTTCGCTTTAATCTCAAACAATATGCCTGATAAAAGTCATCATCTAAGGAAAGTATGCTTGCCAGTTTTTGAATAATCTATAATTTTTAAATCAAATAAAATTGTTTTGCATTTAGTGAGATCCATGTTTTAAATGTATCTTACAGCTGCAAGAGCTGAGAGGAAACATCAGAGTGTTCTGCAGACCTCGGCGAGATGACAAGGCAGATAACTGTCTCAAGTTCCCCTCTGACCAAGACGTCATGGCTGTCAATGCTGACGGCTCTAAGAAGACATTCAGCTACGATAAAGTATTCACACCAGATACTACACAAGAACAGGTTAGCTGAAAAGTAGTGTTGAACTTTTTCAAGACAACCACCAATTGCCGAGAAGAAAAGTGATCATCTTAAAACTGGTGTTCCCTTCGGACAGTCTCATTATAATATTCTTTTTAATTACTGGGGGGTGGGGGGTTGTGCGTACAGGTGATTGTCTTGGACAGGCGGTTATTAGGGCAGGGTCAACTGTATCATCTCCCAATTATTCATGCATCAATGGGAATACTGTCCACTGTTTCGTAGCTGTTCACTTGGGGCATGGCTGCCAACTCACACTCACAGCTACCTCAGGGGTTGTGCAGAAGGTCAAGCAGTTCAAATGGGCTGCATACTTTACTTTTACTATCTCAGTCCCCTTTTTATGATGATTTCTATCAATTTTAGGATGAATTAGAATAGGCTTTTGCATTGATAGGCTATAATCTAGCCCAAACAGCATTCTCTTTTCCATTATGGAGAGGAAAACTGTTTTCTGCTGTCCTTCAGTCTTGGCCATAGAACGACTTTTGTGTTCATCAATCTAATTCTATTTATATAAGTTTTGATTCTTTTTGTTTCTTTTTTTCATTTTTTGCATAATTTTTTTCGTAGCCTGTACGAATAACATACTTCAATGATTTTTGTTTTCATAGTATAAAAAGACTTAAGACTCCCAGTCGTATTGGAATTTATGACAATTTTTCTGTCTCTCCTGTGTGGTAGTACTTGATATGGAATGAAATACCTGTCCAATATATAGAATTATTTCAATGAACGGAGCTTTTTGTTGCAAATTTTTTTCTTCTTTTCCCTAGCATAACTGGATGAATAGTAGACTTTTCTAAATGTAGAGCTGAAATTGCTCAGTAGTTTGGTTTTGATAAAGTTGGCCCAGACAAAAATGTACCGAGTATCTCTTTTTTTCCAACAGATCTTCACAGACACTCAACCTATCATTACCTCATGTGTTGATGGCTACAATGTGTGTTTGTTGGCTTATGGTCAGACTGGCTCGGGCAAGACTTTCACTATGATGGGACCGGAAAACAATCCTGGAATCAATATACGGTATCTCATTTTATGAAATAAAAATTCTTGTTAGAAGTGCTTTATTTTTTTATGGTATTTAAAAAAGTCCTGGTAGTACAAATAGTAGTTTGATGGCATTCCTATTCTCAGTTCGGAGGCAATATTTTTTAATTATCTGAGACTGTGCAATTTTGTATTTTTTATATATTATTTTTATCGTACATGTCTGAAGATAAGATAAGATTGCAGACACTGGCATATTGGTTGATGTTTTACCACACACACACACACACACACACACACACACACAAACCCACACACATGCACACACACACACACACATCCATATACAGACGCTCATACACATATACTTTCTCACACATATTTTCTCCCTCACACACACACACACACATATATATATATATATATATATATATATATATATATATATATATATACATACATACACACATAATATGTGCTCACACTCACAAACAGGCCCACAGTTATATTCATATTATGGTATTTTATGGTATGGGTTTAATACCCCTTTAACCTCTGTATTAAGAGGCGAGACCTCCGAATTTAACTTTTATCTTATTTAGGGTAGGCGAGCTTAGTAGAGAGGTTTCAGGACACCCTTAACAACCCCAGGTCAAGAATGTCCCTTTGGGCATTAAAACCATGGTCCGCCACATCATAGTGCAGCATGAGACCGACTGAACTAATAACACATCCTATTGGGTTTTTTTCAATAATTTTATTAAAAGAGATTTTTTGAAAATTAAATCACACACATGGTTACATTTCCTACAAGGTTGTGTCTGCTACTATTTTGTTTTATTGATCTCAAACTTGGACTCGATATGCAAATGGATAAACATGATTGCCATTCTTATACTTTGTGTGTTTCAGAGCAATAACAGAACTACTCAAAGTGTGTTCAGAGAGGACAGAGACGAAAAAGTATAAACTAAAGGTACTTTTCTTTCTACTTCAGAACTATCATGCACTTGAGTCTATATCCTCTTCGCCTGAAAATTAAAGACAAAGAAGCCTTCTTTTTGCAGACATTTCTATTATTCCCAGTTGCCTTTTGATCAGTCTTGAAATTTCATGTTCTCTTCCCTTTAGCACTCGTTTCCACTATTTTTTTTCTTCTTGTAATTGAAAATGGCAACAAAAATAAGCCTAATCTAGTCTCAACATAATGCCAAGTATAGGCAAACATTATCATTGTTAACATGTTTCTCAGTCCTTCCTCTCCCCAAAAATATTTGTCCCCTTTCTGCAAGTGATGGACCGAAATGAGATTTAAGTCTGAGTTTGAATTAAGTTTTGCACTATGAATATTTTCGCAAATGTTGAAATGTAATATTTACGTTTCAATAAATGACTTGATCTTTAAATGGCAAAAAAGGTTTCCTAACATTTTTGTTTACTTTCCCCTTTTCACCTTCTCTTTTATCTCGACAGATATCTATGGTTGAGATTTATAACGAGACTGTTCAAGACCTTTTGACAACTGATGCCAGAACTCTGGAGCTGCAAATGGTAGGCAATATAGTTCGCATTCCAAACATTACGGAGATGGAAGTGACCGCTGTCAAGGACATCAAGGAAATCATGAAGCTTGGTGATGGCAACAGGAAGACAGCCTCAACCAAGATGAACTCCACTAGGTGAGAGAGAATTTCAGACTTGGGGCTATATAATCGGCCAGCCAGCTCTTAAGATGTACTGAGCCTAGAATTTTTTAAATGTTTTCTACTGCAGTTTTACAATCTGTGAATTCGGTTGCATGTGCTCGAGAAATATTTTGTTGAAATTCAAATTCTAAATGCTGAAAAAAAAGAAAGACGGAAAAAAAGACATAATATAACTACATGTGTACATTATACACTTTTTAAAAGAATGAAAGTTTTATCTCTCTCCCAAAATTGTTGCTTTATGAGCTTAGAACAGTTGAAGAGCTTACCAGTGATAGAGGTCATGAGCTGAATTAATGTTTCACTTTAACTGGTTTCCGAGCACAAAAGAAATGGTGCAGAAGTTGATTTTCACTGAATGTTATTTCTGCTCTTACTTTAGGAATATGGTCCCTTGTGTCTGTCAATATTCTAGAATTAAGGCGACTGCTTATTGTCCCAAATACTAGTATTTGCTGGGAAGTTGTATTTTTTCTCCACTGCCCGTGTTGGCTCTGACAAAAGGGTCTGAAGTAACTCATCTCCTCAATTGTCAAAATTGTGTCTATAGGGCTGTAAAACATTAAAATTTACGATTACAATTACAGCTGCTTTTTCAGTTTTAGTTTGTCAGAAAGCAATAACAATCAACACATCTGAGGTTATGCGGAGGGGACCACATAACCATATTTTTTTATATTATTATCTTCACTTTCAAAATCATTTACAATAATAAATAAAATAGGATCCAAATTTCCCTCGTGCACCTTCCAAGCTTATATAGTATCTTACCGTTCCTTACCTTTCCTTGCTTTACTTTACCATACCTCACTATACCTTATCTTGCCTTGCCTTGCCTTGGCTTACCCTACCTTACCTTACTTTACCTTGCCTTTCCTTACCTTATCTTACCTTACCTTACCTTACCATACCTTATCTTGCCTTGCCTTGGCTTACCCTACCTTACCTTACTTTACCTTGCGTTGCCTTGCCTTGCCTCACCTTGTCTTATCGTATCGTATCTTATCTTATCTTATGTTATCTTATCTTATATCAATAATGATAATAAATTTCACTTAGAAAGTGCATTTCCACTTGTCAAGTGCTCAACGCGCTTTACAATGACACAAAGAACACGTGCAGCGTACAGTTTTAATAATGATCATTTCTCTCTGCCTCTCTACCTTTCACTATTTTTCCCTCTCTCTCCCCTTTTCTCCTTCTCTCTCTCTCTCTCTCTCTCTCTCTCTCTCTCTCTCTT